AGGTTCATCGATGGTAAGGATAAGAAGGTTAAAGCACCAAGTTTAAAGAAGGTTATTGTGACGATAGGTTCATCGATGGTAAGGATAAGAAGGTTAAAGCACCAAGTTTAAAGAAGGTTATTGTGACGATAGGTTCATCCATGGTAAGGATAAGAAGGTTAAAGCACCAAGTTTAAAGAAGGTTATTGTGACGATAGATTCATCGATGGTAAGGATAAGAAGGTTAAAGCACCAAGTTTAAAGAAGGTTATTGTGACGATAGGTTCATCGATGGTAAGGATAAGAAGGTTAAAGCACCAAGTTTAAAGAAGGTTATTGTGACGATAGGTTCATCCATGGTAAGAATAAGAAGGTTAAGGCACCAAGTTTAAAGAAGGTTATTGTGATAAGTTCATTGATAGTAAGGATAAGGAGGTTAAGACACCAAGCTTAAAGAAGGTTAATCAATGAACTTATCACAATAACCTTCTTTAAGCTTGGTGCCTTAACCTTCTTTAAACTTGGTGCTTTAACCTCCTTATCCTTACTATCAATGAACTTATCACAAAGGTTAAGACACCAATATCGTCAGTGATAAAGATAATAAAGTTTAAACATCAAGAAGTTTACGGTGTATTATAGCTTAATTTCAAAGATCAGAAAAAGTACACATTTATTTGTTTGTTTAAGGCTACACAAAGGGCTATTTGTGCTTTGCCCACCACGGGTATCGAAACCCGGTGTCTAGCGTTTCAGGTCCGCAGACACACCGTTGTGCCACTGGGGAACAGTACATATTAGAACTCAATAAAAACAAAGGCTTTCATTCTTGAAAAACATCATTACTGGGTGTGCGATAATCTATCAGACACGGAGAGTGCTTGCTGTTCACCTTCGTTCCGGAACTTTTGGTGTCGGGAAAAGTGGTTTACATACGCAGAATGTTCGCTGGATGTTGTTGCAACAGCGAGCACCGCATTTTGGTAGAGTGGCTATGCTATAAGAGTAACTGTCAAATCGGACTGGGTAACCCCAGAGTTGACAGTGAGTGTCGTTGACTATTTGCATTTCCCTCACCCCCACCCTCTCCCTCAAGTAAGCTCAAAATTATGGTCAGCTATGCGCAGATACCCCTTATGTAGCTTCGCGCGAATTTTTTTAAAATTTTACCCCCTTCATTTTTACTTGATGATAATATAAATATATATATATATATATATAATGCCTAGACCCACTATTATGTCTTTTATAGCTCAGCCGGCTTGATGAGCCATGGTATTACACGAAAGATCTCATCGGCAGTGGATATGGCAGATGTAATGTGGGTGACATATTATAAGATTTTTTTTCACTCATGGACTCTTAGAAATAAATACATACAAAAAAAAAATTGTGATTATACCTGCAACTGAATCAAAGTCAAAACATGCAAATAAAAACATCACCTCCATCCCAAGTGTATCTATATAAATATAAACATCCTTGTTTTCGAGACGGTGGGGTCTGTCGCTATTTTTACTTAACTTCGCCAAGGACATTTTCCTAAACAGTCTGTCACGCTCCAATTCTGTGATCAAGTTGAGAAACGTAAGCCTTCTTCTGAGACCATGGAATAAAAATAAACAAAAACATTTCTCAAGATTTTTTTTTAAACATTCGTTTACTGCTACAACAACAACAGCGATTCTTTAACACTAGGATATCTCTTCATAACTTGGACTCCGGTTTTGTTTTTGTAACCTATACCATTTTTTCTGTCAATGAATCCTTTATTATATGAGAAACGTGTGAGGTTTAACGTGAAACAAAAATGTGACTGAAAATGTATAAACCTGAAAGTTCATATCCCAAACTTTAACATTAATCTCCAAATATGGTTCCGTTTTCTTCCAATAGTCTCTCGCGGTATTTTTCATTTACATTTTTCGTAGTGAAAATCAAACTGTTAAAGCTAAACCGGTTTAAATACGTCATTACTGTTTAACGCCAGCTCTGCTTCCGTATTTAAAAACTGTCACAGTCACGTGCCAGTATTGTGGATTATTTCCGATTTAGACTTTGTAATGGTGCACACCTTGTGTGGCTTAAGACCTCCAAATTTTGTAACGGTGCAAACCTTGTGTGGCTTAGGACCTCTAGACTTTGTAATGGTGCACACCTTGTGTGGCTTAGACCTCCAAATTTTGTAACGGTGCAAACCTTGTGTGGCTTAGGACCTCTAGACTTTGTAATGGTGCACACCTTGTGTGGCTTAGACCTCCAAATTTTGTAACGGTGCAAACCTTGTGTGGCTTAAGACCTCTAGACTTTGTAATGGTGCACACCTTGTGTGGCTTAAGACCTCTAGACTTTGTAATGGTACACACCTTGTGTGGCTTAAGACCTCTAGACTTTGTAATGGTGCAGAACTTGTGTGACTTAAGACCTCCAGATTTTGTAATGGTGCACACCTTATGTGGTTTAAGACCTCCAAATTTTGTAACGGTGCAAACCTTGTGTGGCTTAAGACCTCTAGACTTTGTAATGGTGCACACCCTATGTGGCTTAAGACCTCCAGACTTTGCAATATACTGTATCTATCCATTGTTTCTGTTTTTACTTTATACCTAAAAGAAACAACTTGTTCCACGAAAACAAAATACCATATCAAATTGAAGAAAGTAACTACAGTTAGGGTGTTCAGTTCTCTATTCACGAGGTTATTGAATTAAAAAATGGTTGTGAAGTCACGTGTTCTAGAGGTCTTAAGCCACACAAGGTTTGCACCGTTACAAAATTTGGAGGTCTTAAGCCACATAGGGTGTGCACCATCACAAAGTATAGAGGTCTTAAGCCTCATAAGGTGTGCACCATTACAACATTTGTAGATCTTAAGCCATTACAAAGTCTAGAAATATTAAGCCGTATAGGGTGTCCAACTAAAACATGGTATTGAAAACTTTTATTTGCAAAAATTTTAGTAAGGTTTTATGTGTATGTGTGAATGTTCCGAAATGTGTATTATCTTCGTTTCAAAATATAAAAAACACATATTTAATATAGAAGATTTATAAATTTTATAAAGATATGCTCAACGGGTATAACAGTGAGCGTTGTTGACTGACTAACTGGTGATGTTGACTAACTTGTTTCTCTCTGGTATATATTGTTACATCTCCGTTTGTTAATTAACTTTCGTAACTTCGTTCCGACGAAACTTTAGCGACACAAGTCCTTACTTAATAAAATTGGTTTATTCTTTCTGAATATAACTTCACGATACACTTGATTTCAACATTCGCGCTAAAACAAACGCTATGACGAACGTTAACTTCAACAATACTTTCTCACTGCAGATCAATTACTCACTACCTACACATACCTTGTCCCGTCACGTTGTCATCCTTTTATATATACCAGACTACCCCATATCTAGTAATCTCCCGACAATTCACGAAGGTACAAGATATTTCCAGAAAGCAGGGGGCGTGACACTAGTCACGTGACCTTGCTGACGCAACAATATATATACATGTAACTTCAAAATTGGAGATGATTATGTGCTCGTAACCCTTGTGTCGCTTTACGCGAAAACTAAACGAAACAATTAATTAATATTTATACGCCTGAGTTAATGAATTCGTTAATACAGGGTTACCTAGTTACCAATGGTATTTTAAACTGACTTTCACACTTACTTTTGACTACGTGTTCTGCAGAGGAACGAAAGAGCTATGACCGCTTCAACCAATTAGAAACTTGATACAAAGTTCATGTGTGAAGTGGTTGGCGATCTGTAAATTGTCACCATACGCCTCGTGCTAAAGTGGATATCGCTTACCCCCCCCCCCCTCCTAAAAAAATTGTTGTTTTTGTTGTTGCAAAAACAGTTTTTAACTGGTAATGTTTTGTTAACATTTTGGTTTTTACAAACACACTGAACTCTGAACCTAACTGTAATTCAATGACAACAGAAGAGGCGCCATCTTTATTAGTCTTTTTTTTATAAGTAATTTTATCATTATTGACCTTACGCTGTAAATTCCTAATAATATGTTAGAAATGATTAATAAAACAATTTAAAAACTCGCTATTTACGAATAAAATCGCTACTTACGTATAAAATCGCTATTTACGAATAAAATCGCTACTTACGTATAAAATGGCGTATTTACGAATAAAATCGCTACTTACGTATAAAATCGCTATTTACGAATAAAATCGCTACTTACGTATAAAATCGCATATTTACGTATAAAATCACTACTTACATATAAAATCGCATATTTACGTATAAAATCGCATATTTACGTATAAAATCGCTACTTACGTATAAAATCGCTACTTACGTATAAGTAATATGTTTATAAACCTCATTGTTCTTAACCAGATTGGAAATCCATTAAGTAACTAATAAATCTCAACATTTTATCGGCTAGATAGGCTAATAACATGAATTTTACAACTACTTTTCTGAGGGCCCCCAGTGGCACAGCGGTATGTCTGCGGACTTACAACGCTAGAATCCGGGTTTCGATACCCGTGGTGGGCAGAGCACAGATAGCCCATTGTGTAGCTTTGTGCTTAATTACAAACAAACGAAACCTTTCTGAGGTATTTTTAATTTTCAAATTGATACTTGTTTAAGTAAACTGGTTTAAGTTTAAATTAATTTGTTGTCCAATTAACTATATTATTTCACAATTTTACTATCATTGCGGAGTTATATACTTATAAAGAACGTAGAAGTAGGAAATTCATATTCACTGTGTTTCTTATTAAGCGCAAAGCTACACAATGGGCTATCTGTGCTCTGCACACCGCGAGTATCGAAACTCAAGTTTCGTCGTTATAAGCTATCAGACTTGCCGCCGAGCCACAGGGGAGGTGGGAGGGGATAGACTTTAAGAATAAAATAAAATGTGTTCATTTTTTCCAACACCACGATGATTGACGTTGCCGAAAGCCCTGCTTCAAGGATAACTAGAGTGTGATACTCTCGAAGCAGCTTGCATGTTGAAGCCTTGTAATTACTTTCAGTACGCATGTTTCTCACTTGACGAAAGTTATCTCCCGTGAGACTTAGTTTCTCTGTTCCTTTTTCAAGGATCTTTTGCTCCATTATAGAGAAAAGCTTTCAGTCAGCTACCGTTAGTTCTATAAGCAACATCTTGAAATTGAAATTCGATGACGAGGAACCCACTTTAAGACTAATAATGGCTGGAGACGGCTTGAATGGGTAATGAAGAATGACAAAACCTTGTCGAAACGTTGTACATTTGCTGTTATGTTAAACTTATACTAAAGTTTTTCTTCATTACCCATTCAAGCCGTCTCCAGCCATTATCTTGAAATTGAGCTTTTTAAACAGGAACGGTAAAAAAATTACATTATTGAAATTCTCGTCTGTGTTAATTGCTGTGTTTCTTGTCACCCCCCCCCACCACACACACAAATAAACCTGTTTAACTTTATTTGAATATTTTATATACATTTACCCCTCAAATTACCGACTTGTTTCCATATCGTTAATTAACGGCGGGCCCTCGGTGGCTAATTCAGAGAGCTTATAATGCTAAATATCGGGTTTCGATACTCGCGGTGGGCAGAGCACAGATAGCCCCCCTCGTGTAGCTGTGCGTTAAACAACAACTAAACAAACCTTACGGTGGAATCAATATGTTGCGTTACAAAGATTTTTTTGTTTTGTTTTTTTGGCCATTACAACACTCGGTGAAAAGAACAATCCAAAAACAGTTAGGTGAAATACGTAAATTACATACGTCATCCCATCAGTAATGCGTGGGATTAATTACAATATTGATAATATATTTGTTTACTTTTTTTTTTACGTGGCTCATGTCAGTAGGATTCCCGTAACCAAAAAAAGTCATGGACTCACCAGCAACTTGATTTATAAATACTAAAAAAAATCTTATAATTCGGTAATTTCAAGGATCAGAACTCATACTTAGATCCATTGCTCTAAGTCTAAGGACTGCGAATTGTTAAAAGTCATCTTATTTAACTTGGCCCCCAGTGGCACAGCGGTGTGTCTGCAGCTTATAACATCAGGGCCCGGCATGGACAGGTGGTTA